TTTATTTTTTTTTTAAATCCGCATTCATCACAGAGGACCTTCTGCTAGCTTCCACTCTGAAGAGCACATTTCAAATTCAATGGTCAGTAAAAGATGTTGCTGGACATTTCAGCAACGTAATAATAGATCATTATGACCAGACCACAAATAACCAAGGACTCGATTAGACAATAATTGAGTGAGCAACCACAGGAACAACCTGTTACTTAAAAATTCAAAAGAGGCAGAAGGTGTTGAGACAACTTTGAAAAGATTTCTATAGGGATTCCAGTGAGTTGTGTATTACTAAATCTTAACTTTTCAGCTTTGCTGATAGTTTATCAGCAAAGATATCAGGAAAGATAACTGTCCCTTCTCAGATTTGTAGATCCCTGGAAACTGGAAGACTATATGTTCACCCATTCTTACTCTCCCCGTATCTATCTATTCTGGCTTTCTGGAGTAATAGGAGATAAGATAATACATTAAAGAGGATCTCAGAACAGTCATCCTTATATCAATTCAAAAGGGGAACTATTACAGCATCCATAGGTTTCTTCCAACATCAAGGAGCTTTGCACCCATGGAACAGGAGTTGAGCTAACTCTTGCAGAGGTGGCATGCTAGGGATGGATGAGATACAGGTCACAGACAACAGTTGTTTTTAAACCAGCCCTGACCAACTTCAAAACAAGGATGATAGAGTGAAGGAAGCCAACTACAAAGCCACTGCATACCTTCTCATCGTTCAAATAATGTTAAGAATTTTAAATTGTAGATGTACTTTTTCCTCTCTTTTGCATATAAGGTACCTATATATGAAAATAACATTGTGCACAGCTTTAAGGTAACAGATTCTTGCATGTGTATACAACTGGAATGACTTGTCCTTTCTAGGCTGCAGTAAAAGGAATATACATGTAAATCTACACTGTGATAAAAAGTTTAACGTAATTGCTATTAACACTCATTCTCAGTAATAGCTTCACTATTTCAGCTTCAGCTACCATTACTACTTTTTATATCTATTCCAGTGCTAGAGAACATTTCATGAGAGCAGCAAAGGATGCTGCCTTTAAGCCAGAAGCTTTTTGTATTAGTCCCTACTCTCTTTATTTCTGAGTGTATGAAGTATGCATTCACATTTTGAGGCTATATATAATTTATTGCCAAAAAAAAGTTAGCATTCCTTTAAAAAGTATCCAGCTTAGGAGCTTACCAAGGTAGATCTTGCATTCCTCACTCTTGTCACAGGTTATGGACATTGTAAGTTAAGAATATTTTAATTGTAGGACACAGGGACAAAGCAAGCTGCTTTTGCCAACCATAAAGAGCACGCCTAAGAACCTAGACAAGTTTATAAAGTCATGAGTCAAGGTCTGTAAAAAGTGTCCCAGTGTAGACCAGTTCGTCTAGGTATGCCTTTCAAACATACTTAAACAATGCATAGAGTAACTGTACTCAAGCCCTTTTTATCCCCCTAGGAGAATAATCTGCAAGTAGCGCAAGCCTGAGTAACTACGTATTAAGAAAAGGACTTTGTTCAGGGTTCCAGTACACCTTCGCAGCAGATAACCAACGAGCATCTTAAGCATTTTGCAGAATTTCATGTATTCAAGAACTGAAGCAAGCCACAGATGGTGGAAAATGAACTGCATGCAACAGGCAACTCAAGAGAAACTCAAGAGCATGTGAGAGAGCATCTTTGTTCCCTACTTACGTGTTTGCAAACCATTGTTCTGTTAATAATGCTGTAATAGAAGTATCTGAAACACTATAAAAACTTCATCATGTATCGTAAGTGGGAGATGCACACGTGGGTATATATACGCACACATAAAATTTCCCTGCCACAAGGATAAGGCTAGAGAATTTGAACACAGAAAAGCCATAAATTATAGCACCATAGATTAATGTAATGCTGTCCCCCCCATAAATGTTAATCTGCAAGACTTAAGTATTAGTAAGGACAAAAATTAACACAACACACTCAAATTACTACTTTCTCAGAAAGTAAATCCACATACCACAACTAATATAGCATTAGGACTATATTATTACATAAAAATATCTTCAACAAAAATATGACAAGTCAAATCTGAAAGATAAGCCAAGTTTATTTGAAACAAAAAAAAGACACCGCTATTCCCAAGATTTAAAAAAAAAAAAAAAAAAACGATTTTTTTTTTTACTGATGTGACAAGACAGCCAATTTACAGCAGTTACATTAATTCAGGGAAATGTGGTTGTTTTACACTGCTTCAACTGACTACATGCACATTCTGCAAGATAAATTTGTTCTCCTTCCAAAAATAACAGGCAAAAACATCCTACAAAAATGTGTACACAGTTTTGAGACACATGATCAAAACACAAACCATTGTCCAAGGGCCTGAAACCTTCCCACAAGGTTAAATCCTTGGTTGCTTCAGCCAACCCTCAACGGGGGAGCTACAAGCACAACGCCGTCACCTCTGACAAAGAGCATCGGAATATTCCTTTTGGTAGACTATGAAGAAGGAAAGAAGAGTTTAAATTTACAAAAAGATCGTTTACAGAACACCTGCTAAGCACCAAAGACCAAATTCAATCATAACAAAACACCAGAAACAACTCCGACAAATGTCAGCTCAGATGTATAACTCTGTCACGCTGATGAGATCAAAAGAATCAACAGCAAGTCTCTCCACATCCTTTGGACTTTCACCACAACTTGTCTGAAACTTGCTAGATTTTAGTCCAGAAAGTAGTTATTAATACACTATTTTAACTATACGACATAGCTTAGCTTGAAAAAAGTTTTCTGTAGAGATAAATACACTGAAGTCCTTACTTTATAAATTTCTTCATAGGTTTCTTCATCAATCTCTATTGTTGTTACAGTTTCTTCTACATCACCCAGAATCATATTTAAGTGCTGATCATATGCCTGTAGGAATAAAGTTAATTATTTCTTCAAAAATTCAAACTCAATAAAATTACAATTTTAGCAAGACATTCAGACAATTATTTTAGCCTGATTTTGACCAAAATGTACCAGTATGTCAGAACAATATTCTCCCATCAGTCTACATTCCCAGAATTTGTCTGGGGCAAATTAAATGGCCATGAAAACTGTAACTCATACAGTGTTAGAAAAACTTAAAATAAGCACAAACTCCACTCTACAAAAGCACATTAAGAATTACACCAGCACATCACAGATCTGTTCTCATCTTTGTGTTCCCAAATGAGTTTGAGACCTAATTAATACATTGGGCAACTGGCTCTCTTCCACAACACTGTACTGTATTCAGGAAGAATGACAGACCTAATGAGACAGACTGGTTTTCTACAAAGAGACATATTACACTCAGAAGAAAGCACTTAAATGAAATTTGCAGAGAATCCAGCAGAGTACATATCCCAGTATACGCTCACGGGCATGCCTTATAAGAAAGTTGTTTGATAATGACTGGTATTTCAGTCTAAATAGACCTTAGAGCCCTCTACAAGAAGATGTCTGCATCGTTACTTACTTTACAGACATGGAAACAGAAGTCAGAAGCAGAGGAATTAATTACATGATATCATTTAGAAGACCACAGGCAAAAAAAAAAAAACAAAAAAAATGCATCTTTAAATCTCTAGAGGAGCTTTTTAGAGCAGAGTACTGAACAAACTCAATTTTGCCCCTGAACATATTACACTTTTTGAAAGAAGAAAGGGTTCAACCCTTGCTACTAAGATAACCTTTAACCTGCCTTCTCCAGCCACTTCTCCACTTTTAATCATGAGATACAATTAATTACTTGTGCTTTTAAACTAATTGTTTGAACAATCAATAGAATGTTACAGGTAAGCTTGTATAATAAAGTGTTGCAAATAAAAAATGTTGCCCAGTGCTTGGCTGAGTAAGCATAGTAGTGTTCTGAGTTTTACTTACGTGTAGTCTGCCTCTCAGTTCTCTGTCATTCCTCATTTTAACATAGATTCGCTCATCTAGACTGAGTCTGATGAGATCAAGTGGCTCCTCTACAGTATTTGTTGTTTGTTGCTAAAAAACACAATAAAGAAAAGTTATTTATAAAGATGACTGTGAACTTCTAGATTCCTCAGCATTTGAAAAAGAAAACAAACATGTAAGGACACAGAAGCTGGTTGTTTTGAAACACTCTGTTTCCTGGTGACTCTAAGTGCAGATGATATTAACACTCTACAGATGTCCAGCAGCCTGTACAGAATTAGTTAACAGACTAGTTAGTCTGTTAGTCTGGTTAGTTTGCACCAAAAAGTGCCTCATGCATACTGTCATAAGAGCTGTATTTTTTAATCCACAAGCATTGTCAGTACTAAAAGAGAAAGTCTAATCTGCACAAAGGAGCATGGTAACAGAAAGTACTGTATCTGTAGCACCATCACTGCTCTGGCTAGAAAACCAAAACCACACCCATTTCACGAGCCCACATCAGCCAGCTGGGTGACACGGACACCCCCAGCTGAGGCGAGCACCACACCTCAGCTCTGCCAAGCCCCAAAGCAGGTTAGAGACCCGGCCACACTGGGGACTGAAGTCTCTTCCTTGTGAGGAAAGCAAACTTTCAGGACCACGTCTAAGAAGCGTGAACACCTTTTTACACGCCCACCCCCAGCACGCCACCCATTTCTCCCTCAGCGAGGCGCAGCCGACGGCTTCCACACCTCAGCTGCGCAGCCGAACCCCCTCGGCGGGCCGCCTCCATCTTACGCCCCCCTTCGCTCTCCTCACAGGCGCGGGGAGCAGGCGGGAAGCAGGGAAGGAGCCCAGCAAATGGCGGCGATGCGCCTGGAAGGGCCCCGCCGCCACCACGGCGCTCAGGGGCCGGCAGCCAGGGCTCGGCGAAGACCTCCCCGGTGCCTCCCGGCCCGAGGGAGCCGCTCACCTGATCCACCTCATCCGCCATCTTTCAAACACTCTCCCGCTAGCCGCTATGGCCCTTCCCCTTCCTTCTCTTCCCCGTCCCCTTCCTCTCCGCCAGGGCGGGCTGTGGGGCGGGCAGACAAGGGGGCCGGGTGTTCGCGGCCGCTGTAGCGCCATGGCGAGGAAACGCAAAGCCTCCATCCCGGCGGCGACTGCCAGCAAGAAGCGTCCCGGGGGGCCGCGGGATGAGGTGAAGAAGGAGAAGGAAGAGGAGGAGGAGGAGGAGGAAGGTGGGTGCGAGCGGGCGGGCGGCCATCGCCAGGACCTGGGGCTCGGCTGGCTGCGAGGGGGGACAGGGGCCGTTGTGTGGGGCTGGAGGGGGGAGAAGCTGCTTGGATAAGCAGGGGGCTTGTTTTTAACTGACCCCACTGGTAGGACCGCAGGGATCTCTGTGTACTTCTTGTTCACTGCGTTGTGATGAGTGCGTTCCTGGAGCTGTTGTGCAGCTTCTTGCCTGTTTCCTACAAAACGATGATGCGCTCTTCATGTTGAGCAGTTTGCTTTCTTATGTAACTAATGGATAATTTGCTTCTAACGAAGTCTGTGGAGGTATTTTTTTCTGATTGCTATGGAGGTGAGATTTGATCCTTTGACATAGCTTCTTTTCTTCTATCCGATGCAGATGATTTTGAAGAGAAGAAGCCCAGTATAAAGAAGAACAAACCCAAAGTTCCAGCTACAAAGAAGAAAGAAGACTCTGATCCTGGAGTTTCCAAGTCAGCAAATAAACCTTCAAAACAAAAAGGGGTAAAATTGCTAGCAAAAGAAAATAAAAAAATCACAGAAAATAAAGGAAATCATAGCAAAGAGCAAACCTGCAGGTAAGTTTACTTATTATTTATCATTAGAGTATACAGGAGCTCTCTTTGCTGCAAATATGCACGTAAGTAGATTGCTTTAGGCTAGAAGTCGAGTTTAGTTCATTTGTGCCACACACTTTAACAGACATACTGTCTGATTGCAGAATCAGCCTTGAGGAAGACCGTCTGTATGGGAAGCAAATATCTGAGCCTTTTCAAAACAATGGTTTCAATATATGATGTTATTTTATTCTATTCTTTACATAGAGTGAGGGAGGTTTTATGGAATCTAGCACGAATAGAAATATGACCCTGAGATTAGGGTGTAGGATGATGAGCAGAAGCTTTTAAACATATAATTCCTCTGTGTTTTTTAGGAATCCAAATACGACATTAGTATGGTTTTGCCATGATTTCTATAGGGAATGTATCAGTAAGAAGAAATGAAACTGGCCTCACTTCACTGGCCAATCCAGATCCTTTGGTATTAGCACTAGTGAGACAGAAACGGTTCCAATCCCAGTACATTTTGAAGGTTTGGTAAGGACAAATTATTCAATGAACGAATTCTCCAAGAACTCATTTATACAAGCTGTTACAAAGGATGGGACCTTTTTTTTAGGTTCAAGCATCTTTTTTCCTAAACAACCTTGCAGAACTAAAATTTAAGTTTGCACTGAAAAAATGTTGCCCAATGAACCTGTGGTTGTTTATGGCAAAGATTGCTTGCTTTTCTGAGACGACATCTGTGGTTTACGTGTCAAATATTCAAAACCTTTGCATCTGTTGTTACTGATGTAGAGGTCATGCTTCATATATTTCCCCATTTTAAATGTTTTCTTTCTATATATTTTTTTAAATAAACAAGCACCTGAACTTTGTGATGCTAAAACCATTTTGGTAATTTTAATAGTGATTCACTGAAGCCCCCTCAGAGGGAGACAAAGTTGAAGAGAGAATCTTCTGTTAAAAAGGAGATGGATGAAGACAATACTGACAACGATGATGACGATGATGAAAGTGAAGATGAATGGGAGGATGTGGAAGGTAACAATTGCATGTTTGTTCCAAGCAGTAAATATTCTTGTACACAATGGGTCTTTTTGTAATTTGATTTTTGAGCCATTTCCCATTTGGATTCAGGTAAATACATACTCTAAGTGTACAGAGTATGTTCCATGTGCCATGTTCCATGTATGTTCCATGTTCCATGTATGTTCCATGTTTAATATAGAACATGTTCCATGTTCTATATTAAAAGGTCATATCTCACAATACTTCTAGAATGATTCCAAAGTAGGAAAAAAACAGACAACTGACTTGAAGGTAAAGCTTTGAATTTGACAATTTTTTGGTGTTTGTTAGGGTTATGCTACCATGTATAGCACTTTCTTAGCTACTAGCATTGTCTAATACTGAGAGAAGCAAAGAATGAATTGGTCTGAAGATTCAAAACTCTTGACTTCCTTGTAAAGAAAAATGGAGGTGCAGTCAACTGAGTTGTTCAATGAGGTTTCTACCAACAACCTGTAAGAATCATGATGATCATAATCTTCATAATTTGCTGCTATAGATTTATGCCTTCTAAAGTGAAGTCAGTTGTGCTTTTTGTTGTTGTTGTTTCTTTATTTGTTTTTTTTTCAGTACAAGTACTCTTTGGGTGGTATCTGCTCATTCAGCTTTCTCATGATTAAATTTGCTTTTTGCAGTCACTTATCATTAGACTGTGCTGAGCTGATTCTTCAGTGGCAGTTGACTATCATCCCCCAGTTACTAGAAAAAGCTGAGTAGACATTGTGTTAGAGAAGATCCAGGAACTGATAATTACTGGGGACATTCTCTTTGTAGTTTGTTTGAACACATGAGGAGGAGTGGGTGGATTTTTACCCATTGTCAGTCCTTCCTATGGCAAATATTCCATATTTTAGTATTTTTAGTAATGTTTTGTTTTGGTTTGGTTTTCCAGAACTCCAGGAACCTGTCACAGATAAGTTAGAAGAAGCTGCTGTTCATTCCTCAGTGGCGCTGCCAAGTAATCCGGTTGAGATAGAGATTGAAACGCCAGAACAACGTAAGAAAAGAGAGAGAAGGTAAGAACAGGGAAGGCAGTGGAGCGCATCTCACGAATCTAGAAAGGCAGATCCATAGAAAACTACAACATCCATTTCTTCTGTAATCTTATGCAGAGAAAAAAGGAAATCTGAGTTTGAGACCTATCTTCGGAGAATGATGAAACGTTTCAGCAAGGAGGTTCGTGAGGACACGCATAAGGTATTGGTCACAAAGAAACCTGGCAGAGGAAAAAATGAATGTAAGATCTCTGAACTGGTCTGTAATGAGGAAGAAAGTAATTTTTGATCAAAATAATTTGGGGTCATGGCTAGAAGAGAAAAAATAAAAGGCTGTAGTCCAGACAGATGCTCACTGGACTTCTCTTGAACTGTAAGTTAGAAACATCCATGACTGTGTTAGTAAATTTCCAAGTGAAAACAGATGTGAGTAGGGGGTGTGTTTCCCCATTGTGTGTATCTGTTCATTCTATTCATGTTAAACTGTCAGTCAAGCGAGCAGGAGGCACTGACAGGAACTTCAAGGCTTTACTCTGTTATGATGGTGATTAGATGACAGTCCTGTGCCCATCTTATTTGTAGTTGCCTGTCTCTGTCAAAAGGAGCAGTAGAGGTATCCTCATTTTTAACCATGGACAGCAGTTCCAGCAAAGAAAACCTTGTTTGAACTCACTATAGAAACTTTCTTCTCTCAGGTTCACCTCTTGTGTTTATTAGCGAATGGTTTCTATAGGAACAGGATCTGCAGCCAGCCAGATCTTCATGCCATTGGTCTGTCCATCATCCCCACACGCTTCACAAAAGTGTCTGCAGGCCAAGTGGACGTTCTCTACCTTTCCAACTTCGTGAAATGGTAAAATGCTCTCTGCTAGTCCTGCTGTCATACAGAATGTAGAATAAGGGTTCAGGGAGAGGGGTAAATGTAATTAAAAATTTTCAGTGATTTTAAATACAAGAGTGAGAGGCTGTTCTTTGTGAAGAAGGAAAGGATGAACTATGAAGTGTAAGAATATACTCACAATGGTAGACAATAAGTAGGTGTCTCAACATTTCAGGTTTATTGGAACCTTCACTGTCAATGATGAGCTCTCCATTGAAAAAGGAGAGCCCCTTCAGTCAACCTTGGAGAGGCGCTTTGCCATCTATGCTGCACGAGACGATGAAGAGTTGGTTCATGTAAGTGACTGGGAACTGCAGGGTTGGTTGCTGAATTTGGATGCTAGATCATTGCAAACAAGGTGGTGTTTGAGGGGTGAATTTGGAGAAAACAGGTTGGATGATTTAGTGTATTCCCTGCTTTTTTCTTTCTGTTGTATTTTTGTCTGGAGTCATTCTGTGCTTAAGTTCGTCAGTATGAACTGTGCCTAAAAGAACTGAAAGAGCTGCTGCTTTGCAGATGTGTGGCTTGCAGCTTTGCGTTGTTGCTGATAAATTGGATGTTGCAGCTTCTGTGTCACAAAGCAGTTGTTGTGGTCTTTGCATCCCTGTTGTGTAAATAGAGATGCCACTTCCTGGGACAGGAGGTAAAGACAAAGCAAGCCTGGCTTAGGCACTTAGAAGTCCCATGCAGGAAAGCAGGTGCTGGGTCGCAGCTGTTAGCACTCAGTTGTGACTGTAATGCCATTTTCTGAATAGCTGGTGTTTCTGCTGGGTTCAGCTTATGGTATGTTGTTGGTCTTGGCCACATTTGGGAAGGAGAATTTAGAGTCATCTTACTCAGTTTGCCTCAAGAACAAGAGGCTGATACTGTAGATGGGACTATGGTGACTCACCATGTGCTCCAGCAGGATGGGTCATTTAGCCTCTTGGCTCTTTATCTGTGAGTTCACAGCAGTGCCTCTGTCACTGTTGTACCATAAATAAGAGCCAAAGACAACTGCGCAGTGCTTTGATACTATAGCAGCTGAGCTACCTGCATGTCTTTGTCAGTATCTACAGTGCTGGGTAAAAGCTAGGAATGAAAATGGTTTGTGAGCTGTCAAAGAGTTTTGAGATTTTTTCCATGTACCTTAAAAAAAGGTTAAACACGCTTTGTTTTTCCTTTTGCAGATATTTTTAATTATTCTCCGAGCATTACAACTACTGTGTCGCCTTGTGCTGTCTCTTCAGCCTGTTCCTCTCAAGGAGACAACAGCAAAGGTAATTTTCATAGGGTTTGTAGAATTCTCTAATCAGTCACTCCCCAAAAGGAGTGCAAAAGCTGTCTGGCTGTTGCAGCTTGAAGTGAATCACTTACTGCGTGAACCAGAATGGTAATAAGTGTTCTTCTGTCTGTCCTACAGGAGACGCAAACCCCTAAGTTTTAGATTTATCCTTTCTAAAAACAAAACCAACCAAACAAAAAACTCTTATTTTGTATGTTTAAGCACAGTATTTTTTATGTTCTCTCGTTTTTCAGTTGATGAACTGAATATTTTTTAAAACTTAGACAGGAAATGCTGCTGGAGTACACCTCTCTTCATCCACCTGCCTGAAGTTTTCAAGTCCCTAAGATATGCAAATTGACCATGCCTTTGGTCTTTATTTACCTCATGCTGATCTCAGTGTTATCTTCTTCTTTTTTTTTTTTTTTCCCTGCTTTTTGTTAGCTGTGGTAAAAGTGACCTAGCCTCTTTCTTGCAGGGAAAAGGCTCATCCAAGAGGCAGTCACTCAGCAGTACCTCTGAAGGGCGGGAAAGCTCTGGCACAACACCCAAAGCCGTGGCAAAAAAATGCCCCTGCAAAAAAGCCAAGAAGGATGAGAAATCCTCAGGGAGTGAAGAAGACAACAAGGAGCCAGAGAAACCCAGAACTGCTCGGACCAAAAGGACACACAAGTCGAAGCTGACTTCAGGCAGCCAGGAGCAGAAGGAAATTGGTAATGAGGAGAGTGGTTTAGGGGAAAAAGATGTACCTGTCAAGCCCAAGAACAATCGCAGGAGACGAGTGGCCTCCAAAGTGTGTTACAAAGAAGAGAGTGGAAGTGATGAGGACAGTGCTTCTGACTTTGAGGTTTCAGAGGAGGAGAGTGATCTCTCTGATGAGGATTTCGTAACTGTATCTAAAAAACAGAGAAGGTCATTGGGCTCCCAGAAATCAAAGCTAACGTCTATCAAAAGCCCCAAAACTGAGACTTCAGAATCAAAGCAATCCAAAAATTGTTCTGGAGTTGAGCCCAGACCAGCCAAAAGCACGGCTCCAGCATTGCCTCATGCACCGAGAAAGAGGAACAAAATCATTTCTAGTGATGAGGATGATGGGCAGCAGCTGGTAAGGAAAGTCATTGGCACAGACCAGTGGCTAGAGGTTTACCTTGAGCGTGAGGACAAGTGGGTGTGTGTGGACTGCGTTCATGGCAGTGTTGGTCAGCCCCAGCAGTGCTTCAAATATTCCACAAAGCCACTTTACTATGTTGTTGGATTTGACAACGATGGGAGCGTCAAGGACGTGACACAAAGATATGACCCAGTGTGGATGACCACAACGAGGAAGAACCGTGTGGACCCTGAGTGGTGGGAGGACACGCTGCAGCCATATAGAAGTCCCTTTGTGGAAAGAGACGAGAAGGAGGAAAAGGAGGTAAATGATGATGATTTTTTTCAGGACTTTTAATACCATGAGTTCAGTCCTTGGATTCTCATTCACGTAAAAATCATTAGTAACAGTTTCTATTGAACTTGAAATATTTATGTTTTAAGTAGAATATACAATGATACGATTCAAATAATAGTCAGATAGAGGCTGTTAAGAGAAATACAGATAGCAAAAGTATTGGACAGCTCATTCTGAAAACATACCAGCATGAGTTTCTGTACAGACTAGCATTACCCTTCTTGGAGAGAGTCTTTAGGATACATAGATCTGGGTGCACATCTAAGTGTCTGCGTGCAACAAGAGTGCTTTGGTACATTGGTTCACCTGATAAAATTCCTGGTGTTTTTTTCCTTTGATATAGACTATAATGATTACTAATTTCTTAAAAGGTTAATACAAGAGAGCTGCAAAATCACTCTTTTTTGCACAATTCCTACAGTTTCAAGTTAAGCTTCAAGATCAACCTCTACCAACAGCAATTGGAGAGTACAAGAACCACCCTCTTTATGCACTAAAGAGGCATCTCTTGAAGTATCAGGCAATCTATCCCGAGTCAGCTGCTATCCTAGGGTACTGCAGGGGAGAGGCTGTCTACTCCAGGTGAGTGGAGTGTGTCTCTGTAACAAATTGAAGAGTTAATTGGTGTTAAGACCACAGTGGCATCAACAACAGTCTCAGGCCACATGCATGGATAGGATGTGACATTTAGCAATTCAGACAGCATTTGCATACCACTTAGTTACAGCTTTTTACTATTCCTAGCATGTGAGTAATGGTTTGAAAGTCTCTAATATAAATGTTTTCTTCGGACCTTTTTAGAGATTGTGTACACACGCTCCACTCCAAGGACACTTGGCTAAAGCAGGCTCGAGTAGTGAGGATTGGAGAAGTACCTTACAAGGTAAGAGTTTGGCTTCCTTCTGTGCAATGTCTGCCCTCTGAAGTTGAAGCTTTGTTTTGGTTTGGTTTATTTTGTTTTTGTCTTCTTTCTGTTGGCAGACGTAGATTTCCTACTTGCTTGCATGTCGTAGCAGCACCGCGAATCTGTCCACCTACTGGGCATACATTCTATCCAAAGCCCAGCTGTCTGTTCTTCCCACTCCAAGGGTGTCTAGCAGAACTGCACCCTTTTCATCCTCTTCCATTTCAACTTGGGAATCTAGCTCCCTGTACCATACAGGAACCATGAGTTACCATTATAAGCAATAGATACTGAAGACAGAAAATAGGCATTTCTTTCTGATGCCTCTTCTTTTGTCCCAGGAAAGTCTGAAATCACTGGCAGCTTGTTTTTGTGGTGTTACAAGTTTGATTGTTGTCTTTGCACAGATGGTGAAGGGATATTCCAACCAGGCAAGGAAGGCACGCCTTGCAGAGCCTGCAAACCGGGACAAAGAGGACCTGGCACTGTTTGGTCGCTGGCAGACAGAGGAGTACCAGCCGCCTATAGCAGTGGATGGAAAGGTAGCCAGGAGGGCAGAGTGTTGGTGTTAAAAGAATTGTTTTGTATGAAGCTGTGGGCTTTATTTTTCCAGAAGTTATATGTGAGTTGTGAGATCAGTCAGTAACATCTGAACTGAGGTTTAGTGTTCTGAGGTAACTGTACCCAAGAGAGAAATGGTGAAAGTTTTATTGAGGCCTTTCGTTCCTGAGTCCAAGTAATGCTGAGTAATGAAAGGCAGCTGACTTTCTAATTCAGTTGATCCAACTTACCTACCCCATCTTTGTTTTGCTAATTCTGTGCATTACAGGCAGAGTAACAAGGCCTGGTTGGAGAACATAACTAGGAGATAACCATGCAGCTAAAATACAGGCTTGAGCCTTCTCATGTGAATATGAATATGTGAATATGAATATGGTACTATGAATGTAGAAGGCCAGAAATAGAGGAGAGACCTTGAATTGCAGCGGGGATTTTCGCCTCTCTCCAGAGGGCAGGAGTGTCATTTCTCTTTAATTCTGCAATAACAGGTTCCTCGGAATGAGTATGGAAACGTCTATCTCTTCTTGCCATCCATGTTACCAGTTGGCTGTGTGCAGCTCAGACTCCCCAACCTGAACAGATTGGCACGGAAGCTGGACATTGACTGTGCTCAAGCAATCACAGGATTTGATTTTCATGGTGGCTACTCGCACCCAGTGTACGTAAAGGTGCTTTGCTGCAGCTGAGGAATTTTGATTTTCTGCAGAAGCAGTATCCCCTGTGCTAAGGAGGACATGTCCTCCTCTTTTGTGCTAGCTGTAGTAGTAGAGTTAATGTCCCTGGCAAGCAGAAGTGACTTTATATGCTTAAAGGGTCTGCACTTGTGTGGGGAGGATAGCTGACGAATTACACACTTAGATCCTATGAGACAGCTTAGTCAGTTCTGTCAGTATTCATCAACTTTCAGTTTGGCTGGGTCAGCAGGCATTTGCTCCCTTTTTTTTTTCTTCTAGTAGCTGACAGAGGATTCTGTTCTCCTTCCTAGTACTGATGGCTACGTTGTTTGTGAAGAATATAAAGAGGTGCTCATTGCTGCCTGGGAGAATGAACAAGCAGAAATAGAAAAGAAGGAGAAGGAGGTGAGAACTATTTTTGCAGCCTCCTTACTGTTTAATTTAAGCTGCAGACAAAAGGTCAGCTATGTAAGCAGTGGACACAGTTCTATGATGGTAAGAGGCTAATGGCATCCCCCAAATGCGTTATTTGGGGCTTGCTGTCTGCACTGCAATGGGAAGCAATACAAGGGTGTAGTTTTATCTGAGATAGTGCATACTTTGGAACAGTTTTCCATGGCTCCTGGGAAATGTGAGGAATACATGTATGAGGTTAAACTTTTTGAGGAGGCTCCAGTGTATTTTACACAGTGAGTGCACACATCAGAAAGTGACAGTAATTAATACGCTTAGCAGATAAGCGGACACCAATACATCATACTCCTAAGAATCCTACCAGCCTATAATCTTTTAATGTGATGCATTTAAGTTGGTGGTGTGTGTGTTTTTTTTTTTAACTGCCATTTAAAGTCTTAAAACTTATATTTTAATGTAAACACATTGGAACTTGAAATAGCGTTTCTTTTTCTTTTCAATATTAATACCACACAGAAGCGTGAGAAGAGAGCTCTGGGGAATTGGAAGTTGCTGACAAAAGGACTTCTTATCAGAGAGAGACTGAAGCAACGCTATTCCATCAAGGTATTCTGCATTTCTGCTGTATTCTTTTTCAGGAAGATATTTCTCTACAGAGCGATTTTCTTCCAGTATTTCCAATGTGTTATTTTTCCAGCAGTAGAGTGTAGAACTTCAGAATGTAATTGCTCAAAAATCTTTCTCTTTCCTGTTAATATTTGACTAACAACTAGTTAAAAAAAAATCTACACCAAAAATTCAACAGTCATGAAAGATTAAGTATTATTTTACAAGAGACTACTGTTTAACAAAGCACTCTTATTTTTATATTACTCTTCTGTTTTGATATACCCTCTTTCCTAAATTTCTTCCTCTAAGCCAAGTATGTAGCTATAAGAATGTCAGTGGGCTGCTCTTTTGTATGAACTCAGATATTAGTTCTTAATCCTTTCCCTGTTGCGAAAGGTGAAAAGCATGATCTTTTTAAAGATGGTTAATTTTTATTCTTCTGTGACCTAAAACACTTGCTTGAGTTGGAAGAATGCTTGACGTTCAGAAATAGAAACACACTGCTTTGGGTGAGAAGCCCAGACAAGAGCAGCCAACTTTTGTAATGTCATTGAGAGCTACTGTGACAGAAAATGAACCTTTTTAGTTACAAGTGATTCCTAGAGCTTCCTTTTCCATTTTCATGGCCTTATTTTTTTGTTCAGACTGAGCCATCTGCACCTGAGACAGAGAAAGGAGCTGGATTCTCCTCTGATGAAGAAGGAGGTCCAAGTTCAGGAACTGCAGGACGGGATGTGGCAATTTCTTGGCCCCAAAATCGCCAGGTAGAGAAGCAGAAGGAAGAGCAGACAACCAAAAAGAGCAAGCGAGAAAAAAAGGGAGAGGCAGCACAGTTGTTTCCTTTTGAGAAACTGTGATCAAAACAAGCATTTCTTTACCATTTCCAGATGCAAGAACATAGCTGTCACATCAAATGTATCCTATGCCAGTTAAGATCTTCTTCTGTGCACTTGTGTTTCTGAGCTATCAGGGACCAACCTAATTCTGCATCAGGAATGTCTTTTGCTGTTGTGGATGATTAAGTTCATCCCTTTTTCCTTGAACCTAGGAGAAGCAGATGCAGAGTTGAACCTTCTAAGATCTCTAAATGAAGTTGGTCTCTTTTTGTTCTGTTTTGTAAGTATCACTTAGCACTGTAATAAATCCATTTTCTGAGGCGTTTCATTAGCACTATCTCTTCCCATTTTTCTCCTTTCCATTTTACCTACTTGTCCAGAACTAAAGCATGCAGCTGCTGTTTAACAGTCTGTGGTGAGCTGGCCAAGGCTAATGTCCTCTTCAGTACTTTCAGTTCATACTTTACCCAAATCAGTAGTGAGGTAGAGTTCTAGTCTCACCATCTGTCTCTTCATCACAGAGGGGGAAATACTTCCTCTAAGGTGTAATGAAACATGCAATCAAGATTTAGAGGAATCCAAAAATTTACTTTCTGAAGAACACATGTGCCTTTTGTGAAAACTCAGCTTTGGCTTTTTAGCCTATGGTCTTCAGCCTTCCTTTACTTTCAGAAATCTTGTGCATTAGAAGGAAGAAGCCCTGTCCTTGTTTCAAACTTAAGGGTAAATGTGTCATCTTAAGTCATTTAAAATGTATACGTGTTTCAGTTTTGTTTTATCAAGACTGTTTGGTATTGTTCTGGGAAAAAAATGTGTAAATCTGACAGTGTTGTCAGAAAAGAAATTCAGTGAAACCAGGGAGGTTTTTTAAAATGTTATCTAGTACTTAAGCTCTTAAAAACCGTTGAGAGGAATGTTAAATCTATACAAGCTTTTCCTGCAGTTTAGAAACAGAACCTCTGATTTGTCTTTTGCAGTATCTTTAAAACCAAATTAAACTGACAGTCTATATTTTTAAAGAGAGAAATATGGTCTACTTCTGGCTGAATGCTGTTACAGAGGAAGACTTTAAAATGCAAGAAAATGTTTTTCATTTAATTATGTTTCTAAAAAATCTATTTTTGTACTGTATTTGTAGAATAAAATAAAGCATTAAAACAGACTAGTGCTGTCTTTAATTCCTCCCTTCTGGCAGCAGCTGTTTTACCTGAAAGGATTCTTACGTGAGACAAAGAGCACTGTAAGAGTGCTATTTCTAAACATCACGCATCAGGTCCCAGGAAATTGCAGAACTGCAATACTCATTCTGAGTTTTAGTTTTTGTTGCTGAGTTCTAAAACAAACAAAAACATGAGCTGTAGGCTTGGTTAGTAGGTAAAAACTGTTCATAAGACTTCACGAAAAAGTCTCTGTCTTGCATAAAGTATTAACACTGCAGTGGACTCAAGCCGATAGTGTGTTTTGCGTTAATCATTGTGTGGGTATGGAGGAGGGTTCACCCTGAGACAAGTGCTTTGAATGCAAGGATTGAAGTCCAGCTCTACCTGGCATTAGTAGTTTTTCATCTGCTTAAACTGAGAGCTGATATCACTTGTATCAATGTGACTCAGCACTTCTTAATTCGGGATACTTAAATACATGAAGTTGTGAGTAGTCGCTACATACAGTCAGCGGGGAAAGAGAGACAAAATGACTGCAGAAGGCAGGATGCTACTTGGTTGCAAAGGGAGCCAGCTCCTAAACTAAGCATGCAAAAAATGAAAGAGTTTTCCCAAGATGGGGAAATAGTTGCAGGTTATACAAAACCCAGTTGAACACCCATCTTCACCAGCAGTAGAAAACTAGCTCGCCTAGAAGCCACAAACTAACCTTCCATGTACCTGGACACAAGGTGTGCCATGCTTAAAGTTAACAAAAAAAGAAGCCCGCAGACCAACCTTCTGAAAATTGTATTTTATTAAACGTACAAAAGCTCAGCACTTCTGTAGAAAATTGTATCTTTGTCTCTAATATAGTAATACTGGTTAGCTTCCTGCATCATCAGTAAAACAGCAGTCCAGCTTTTTTTTTCTCCCCAAAGTGCAATTTCTCATTAGATGCAGTAAAAGTCAGAGGGCAGCAGATAGAGACTGCCCAGGATCACCAATGCATGTCAGCTACACGCATGAGACTACGTGCACTTCCTATAACCTTCCACTCGCTACCACTGCTTTCAGGGACAGGAGATTGAATTGACAACATTAAATACCAGAAAAATTAAAATAATTAAGGCTAATAACGTAATTCCTACTTCTCAAAATGGTTGTGATTTATAAATCAGATCTCTATTTTAGTACCATTTATAGGAAACATTTGCTTCAACATATATTCAAGTTAAATTCTTTTGGTATGGGGAATACAGTCTCAAGTACTAGTTACAACAGGAACCTGTAAGCATCACAACTCTGCAAGAAAAGTGTTCTTATGATACAACAATAGCGCAACGTTTAAGCTACTAAGTCTATGAAAGCTAATCAGGCAGAAATGTTTTCATGACTTAATTTCATGGAGCATTTTCATTGTCCTTGCTAAATGAAATTCAAGAAAAAAAACAGTATGTATTGCAAAACACACCAAATATTATGACGAATATATATTTGATTATTAATCAGTTTTGTTTCAAGGCAGCAGGTTTTATTTTTAAAGTGAAAGGTGAGTGATCTCTGAGTATCCCCTTAAAGAAGTGCAATTTGAAGTTTTTATGTAACATTACCATTTTGGGTGTTGAACTGAGAACAGCTTCAGAGATTTTTAACAGAAGTTGAGGAAAATCACTGTGTTCTGGCAAAACTTCCCTGTCTTAGAGCACGGCTAACCTGGACACTCAAGACTTCAAGTTAACTTTAAAAATACTGAGTCCAAAAGAATATATTTTACAAAAATATATTGTCAAAGTTGTTTTTCCTTTAACAATGCACTTCCAAATACATTAGCCAAAGAAGAGCACATGACTGTACAAATCAGAAAAGGTAGCAGAGGGATGGATTGTCAGAGATAGGTACGAACACATTATTTTCCAAGGATTTCAGATCCCAGTCCATGTGATGAAGCTGGCACTTTCTCCATAATACACACAGTGGTAATACACCTGTTGGTAAGGATTTGCCAGTTCAGGGGGAATTAATAAATGGTGAAAGATAATCTGCTTTTTCTCTGACTTAGAATGAATACAGATGCTCCAAAATACTTTTTTCCTGAAGTCAGTATCACTGACTTCCTACAAATAGCATGCTACAGTCATCTTTTACATAGATAATGTTTATGAATGGCCCTCCCCAGCTGCTGGTGCACGCTGCTGAACCCCAATGTGCTGTAAGCATGCTGCAGTAACCGGAACAGAAATGCACTTGAAGAGTTTCTAGCCAGGAATCAGTGCAGAACATGAGAGCTTCTTTCTCACTGATGCTTCTTTGGTGGAACACGGGATTTTGCAACCACGATTGGAACTACAGAGAGCAATCCAATCAGCAAAGCCCAGAGAGGGCGGTAGAAGAGCCAGCCAATGGAGATGGTCAAGAGTGACAACGAACTGGCTACGCAGAAGGCAAAAGCTTTTAATCCAATGTTAACCAGATCTCTCACAACAGGAAACCAGTCCACTGCAGGAAGAATTAAATGGGATAAAGTAGTTGACAAGATTATCATTTACAAACAGCTCCTATTCATTCTTAGGATCCACACATAAACAATTGCGATCAAAAGGAAGACTCAAATTATTACCAAGGACACTGGATGAGGCATTTCAGCAGAGTATCCTCCAGGCATTTGATAGATAAGCAACAGCTAGCCATCTAAGACAATGGTATCCTCATCTCTTCAGACAGGAAGTCATGCAAAATTAACTCTGAGGTCTTGTCCAACGCTCAAGAGGCAGCGTAGACAGATAGCCTTGCAGCTATGAAACAAGTCTAAGGCAACGGATGTAACATGCAAGCAAAATAGGAATTTCTGGCAAAAATAAAGCTTTCAGTTGTATGCATATGGATAAGTAAATAAATAAAAAGGAGTATCAAAGATTATCAAAGCAAATGATAGCTTTGATGTCTGAGGTTTATGCAAGTTTGAGGCACCATTCTCCTGTTCAGTGAGCGTTTATTCCAACATTCTTCTAAGTTAAAAGGATAAACCAAAACTTCTTTGCTGTGCTCACAGTAGCATAGAATAACCAAAGACAAGTTATTATAAAACTACTAATTAAGACTTGGTGGGAGACCACCTGTATATGGGTGTAGAAAGTAAGTGGATTGCAGCAGCCACAGCAAGACTTGAAAGAACCAGCCCAGCTTGTGCTTTGGCTTCTCATTTTGGTAAGCACTAGGCTGGGATCTTCTGAGACTGGCAGAGAGATACCTGTTTGTTTATTTATTTTCACAAAGCATCCATCTGGTGCTGGGATCCTGTTTATCCGCAATTGTTTACAGGGACTTTCACACTGAATACAATCTAAGATCAAACAAGATTGTTCCTGGCCTCCAAATTAATTACACATCTGAGCAAAAGACGATGCTCTGTGGATTATGATCCTATTTCTAAGTCATTTTAGTTTTCTGTCACAAACTTACCCAAAGTGTAAACAATTCGGGTCATTAGGTTGATGCCTACAAACATTGCCAGCCAGCCAGCTGCACGGAGGGCCCAAGTCTTCATGGTGTTACTCTCGTGCTCTTTCTGAAACACCTCCTGAAAACAAATGCCATTACATGCAGCCTGTTTCTCAACTTCTTTTCTGATCCAACTCTTTCCAGTGCATTCTGAACAAGTCGGAGTATTTTAGAGGTACAAGTTCTCCGGCAGAAGATATGTTGCAGTTCATTCTTTATGGCTTTTTTTTTGGCTGTAATATCCCAGCACACTACAAGAGATTTCAAAGCGCAGCACAAGCGAAGCCTCTACTTTTCCAATTCAAGACAGCTCGATAAGCACCCTCTGATACTCTCTATAACCAAAGAGAGAGAGAGTGCACACACATTTTGGTGCAAATGGATACACTGAACATTACTGTGAAAAAGAGAGCACAAGTAAGTACATATAACATGAAAGATTTAGTTTTGGTATCTTTGCAGGAAGAGAGAAAAGGCAATGAAGGAAAAGTGCATGAAAGAAAAAAAAATAGTATGCTAAGAAGAAAAGATAAAAGATATGTGTATATTTCACCAAGCAAAGCAGAACATCTATTTGCAAGAATTCCAAGAAAGATTTTTTCAAAATGGATTCTGTGCCCCTTCTTTCTCTGTAGTGAAACCTACACATGCAGATGGCTAAGAAATAATACAACACTCATAGGAAAAGACACACGTATGACTGATTGACTACTTGTATGTACAAATACTTTAGAACTTATTCATTTTTAGTGAGTTCGTTTCAAGGGAATTAAAATTCTACTTAATGAAGATTCAGAGCTCACAGCAGAAAGCTGATTCTACTGCTACTCTTTCAACTCAAAACAAACACTTTAACTGCTTTTGGAAGCTCCTGTAAATTCCTGACATCTGGGATTTTTGCGGCAGGGCATAAAGCAATCATTAATGGAAACCAACCTACTAAAAGTAGTAAATGAATCACCAAATTGCTGGAGCATGCAGGATTTATTGGAGCATTATGCACTGCCTGAAGGTTCTTTCTCAGCCAGAACAGCAATAAACATTTCAAGCAAGCCTAAACTCCCTGTTTAGAGAGGCTGAAGAGAGGATAGCTCCTACGGTTTATTTAATTAAAGCCTGATTTTTACTGTTTTTGCATATGACCTTTTCAAAAGCATGTGTTTGTGTGTGTGTAAGTGGGAAGCTACCAAGGAAAAAATAAAATGCAAAATGAGAAGGCACAGGAACAGTCCTTAGAGCAAATGATGTTCAGCACCGTTACAAGGGGACTTTTTTTTTTTTTTAAACTACAGTTTAGCTACAGCTTCTTCTTAAAATGGAAAAAGAAGTAGGAATAACTATAGTCAAATTATATACTGCTAGCAGGTGAAGCACAGGATTTTGCTGCAACACAAAGAACATGCAGAAAGCAGGAAGGCAAACACAGGCTGTAACGCTTTGCCCTAGATAAAGCATGGAGAAAAGCCAATGTTTACATCAGCTATCTCTTCCTCTAGAACAGGCCTGCGGGAGAATGAGAGCT